ACATTGGTATAGAAATATATTTATTATGCCATGGTTGAAAGATAGTTGTGCAAAGGAAAGTATTCAGGACAAAAGAATAAGCCTATGGATAGACTGAGTTGCAGCTCAGGTGGCTAAAGTATGAGTTAATTGCTGTTTATCCCATTTCACTGTAAGATTGCAAGTGGATTATCATATTAATGCAAGGTGCCTTCTCACATTCAGTGACCATATGTATGGGGATACCCGTACATGTAATTATTGGGGGGAATATTAGAAATCACATATTTGAGAAGGTGTTTTGTTCAGGAGTTCAGAAAGGAAACATTTCATTTAAACTATTTCAGATAAGTCAGCACTGGACTGTAAGGCAGTGGCATGCCAATCCCATGCAGGTAACAGTGACAGAAATATACTGTCAGGTACGGTCAGAGCCTGTGGCTAGCAGGGTAATGACTATATTGGCAGTTGCCCTCAGAGGCTCAGTAAGGTGTTTCAAACATTATCAGACAAAAATACCTTCAGATGCTCTGAATCCTAATCACGTGTTGAAGGCGCAGCAGTAGCCTTCCCCTTCACTGTGCTGTCGTTTTCTAAGCCTTTCCTGGGTGGCTGGGACTGGATTGTACTGCTTTGCTAGTGTCACATCTTCTCACAAAAATAATCAGCCTTTATCATCCACTAATGTAAAAGTATTGCATAAAAATGCGCTTGCCTGTCCCCTAATATGACTTCAAATAGTATGTCTACCACTTAACAACAACAAAATGCACTGTTGTACATCTTAGTCATTCCGAAATTGGAAAATAATGAATTTATCCCCAAAGAAATCTTATTAGAGCTAGTAGTACAGAATCAAGAACAGTATATTGTCAGCTGAATACCTTTGTCTTTGCCGGTTCACTTCTCTACAGTTCACCAAAATGTTCTCAAGAGACCGGCTGTATATTTTAATTCAGCTGATGCATTGCTCCGGTTGAACCTGATCACCTTAGTTAAAACAAGGAAATGAAATTAATACGATTACTGTGGTGGTTTTCTGTCCATTCCCTCTGTAGCCTCTCATGGCAATCAAAAAAGCCGCTTGCTAATTGATATTGGTTTGTCAGTTTGCTGAAATCAACTGTGTGAGAGATTAAGTTATAAGACCATTTCCATTAAAAGAATATACAAAATCACAGAATCACAGAATGTTAGGGGTTGGAAGGGACCTCTGTGGGTCATCTAGCCCAACCCTCCTGCCGAAGCAGG